CTTTCGTCCCGCAGGGGTGTTGTTTCCTTTTCAGCTAGGAGGCTTCAATCTCCCGACTTCAAAGACACAGTTTTCTTTGGCATGGCCTCTGGTCGCTCATTACAATGCGGACGGTGATCGTGGGTAGGCAGATCGCGGACGTCGATCTGCCTACCCATGCCATTCAATGCAAACTTAGGTTAGAACACACGGCATCTGTAGAACAGAGATGGCGAGGACGATGAGCTTTGAGTAAATGGACCCAATATGTTTTATCAAAGCGCATTAGAAAGAGCACAACTACAAGCAAAATAGGCAGGCAAAAGGCAGACGCAAGCAAAAAAAAAAAAAACGATCGGCGCTGTATTGGCCAAGTGTAAAGTAATTCATTAAGCCAGGGTGACAACGAGAGCTTAAGTGCGGTGATGCGATCTGGGTATTTCCCTACTGGATTTACCACGTGACATACTGACCACAAATAACTGCAGCTGTCACGTTTCACAAGCAAATCAGTTTTTGGTGTTTTCGTGATAGCACGTGAGGCGTTGATAACCGATCTTCAGTCATACAGTAAGTACTTTTGAGGCACAGCGCGCATCCGCTAAGCCTACATGCATACTGATACACCGAGGTTACGCGACTTAGACTTAGCTTCCCTAAATTGCTCGCTGCACATTGCACATCCCTGGCGCTCACGCCATGTGCAAGAAGCCAACCCCTCGGGGTAAAGCGGTCATTATACACTATACAGTCGCCAGCGAACAGGACCGGGTCCAAAAAGCCAAAGCTCTTGCTCCTGACCGTCACTGCTTTTAGCGATCTATCTGCTCCCGTTCCCGAGCCACGCGAGAATGCGTTCAAACAGGAGGCAGATGTCACATCCTTACGATAAACATTTGAAAGCGATCTGTTTTATCTCACGGAGCCCTCCCACGAGTTGTATGTAACTCATTGCGCTGGGATGCGTGCAGCCGTTATGAACTTCCCCCCCCCCCACCCCCACCCCCCACCCCCCTCCAACCCCACCCCTCACCCGACCCACACACACAAACCACGCGCACGTTTCGCCCGTTATCGGCGCGCATGGCAAAGCAATTACTGACTTAACAACCACGTGTACAAAAATAAATGAGCTTGAGGGATAAAGCGCCCGGTAGATATTTGATGACGCCAACCCAGCATTGGGCGAAGCGTCAATGTCCAGCGGCGATGTATTGCCATTGGCTGCCCATTATTGTCGTCGACCTTGGGCTCATTTCACTCTTTGCGTCACGCCGCGGCCGCTGCTTTGCGCGCTAACCCCCCCCCCCCCCCCTCCCCTCACCCCGATCGCTGGAATTGAGTTTCGTCAGCCACCATCGCGCAGAGCCTCAGGCTCGTGCAAACCTCTGTATTGATGCAAGGTGTCTTATACGACCCCATGATCACCACCGAGCATGTCGTGTCGTCAGTTCGTCTATTAGCAGTACAAACTGAGGGCGCCGTGCCACCTGTGTGTTCCGGCCACCAGTGAAGAAACCGATGCTTACTAACCATCAATCTACGCGTCCGTGTACATAACATGTAAGTTTAGCACCGGCGCTACTCTCATTAGTGGCCAAACGGTGAAGACCTGGCGGCCGCCCGTCCATCGACGGAGGCCAGTTGGTCGGAGGGCGGCCGCCTGTCCATCGACGGAGGCCAGTTGGTCGGAGGGTGGCCGCCTGTCCATCGACGGAGGCCAGTTGGTCGGAGGGTGGCCGCCTGTTCATCGACGGAGGCCAGTTGGTCGGAGGGTGGCCGCCTGTCCATCGACGGAGGCCAGTTGGTCGGAGGGTGGCCGCCTGTCCATCGACGGAGGCCAGTTGGTCGGAGGGTGGCCGCCTGTTCATCGACGGAGGCCAGTTGGTCGGAGGGTGGCCGCCTGTCCATCGACGGAGGCCAGTTGGTCGGAGGGTGGCCGCCTGCCCATCGACGGAGGCCAGTTGGTTGGAGGGTGGCCGCCTGTCCATCGTCGGAGGCCAATTGGTCGGAGAGCGGTCACCTGGTGACCGCGCCAGCTTTGAGGCACCTCGTCAGACCGTGATCAGCTGCGGCCAGGCCGTGCGGTTTGCGCATAGTCATGTAAGTTACGTTCAGGGGCAGCCGGTTGGGCACATCCTCATTTAAGAGATCCTGTTCCGTGCCGCGAAGCCGGGTCATACGCGCACGTGTGACCTTCACACCTGCGAGGGCAAATAGCTGTCATGGGGAGCACCGCGGGCTCATCACGCGCTCGGGTTGGGGTCAGATGAACCCCTGACAGGTTTTTTAGTATAACTTTGGAGTGGCCCGCGCCCAACTTTGTATGGCTGTTGACGGTTTAATAGCCGATCATTTGGAAAAGAAAGTTGGATGCACCTTGGAGCGTTGCTGGCCAGTGGCAAGCCGAAATCAGGTCATGGCTCTCATCTAAGCTAATTCCTCGGGATTGTTCAATATGGTACGACAACAGAGTTTAACTTAGACGAAGTCGTACACCTTTTAGGGGCTTTGTTTTTTGACAATGGGGTAGCTGAATTTAGAACAGCTATGAAGGTCAGGTCCTGGTCAAAACCAAACCTCTTTTTCTCTGAAGAACCCGCTTCTGAAGGCGGGTTCTAAAACTGCAACGACAACTTCGCAGTTTTCAACAGCTGCTATTTGGCACCCGTTTTGAATTTCTTGTTCACAGTGACGTTAACAGACATGCTATCGAGTTGTAATAGGGGTCGGATAAAGTCAGATTTTACCTTTAATGACCAGGATCAGCTATTTGTCTTTAGGAATATGTCGCTTAGCGTGATGCTTGATGCTTATTCAAATTCAAAAATCAAAATAATATTGTATATCTTTGTTCGTCATGAGCTCCTATCAAATAGGGTAACTGACCTGAAGTGAACACCAGTGAGATTTTGGATAGCAGAGGTAACTTAGTCAAAAGTGATTGCTGAAGAAAGTCTGAGGACGCTGATCTTAAGTCTGACCTTGTCAGATCTCATTTGACCCGAAGGTCATGACCTAAGTATTCCAAAATTTTGATACGAGTAAGCTCACCTATTTAGATGGTTGGCAGTATTTATTCATCATATTGCTGGCTGCCCGGCCATGTGTATAGTTGCATAATTGTTTATAATTTATATATGTATATTTGTTCATGACTGAGTGAGATGGTGTACCACTCTGTGAAGCTGGTGCTTCTAGCTCTCTCGATTTTTTTCAGGCTTCAGAAGGTTAAAATGACTCCTACCCGAGCGCGTCGCATTCAGCTGTCCACCCAGGCGCGTGTTAACGTAAATGGGAACCGCAAAGTTACGGTGTGAAGTGTCCCAAAACGTAGCTCTGAGCCGAAAAACCTGCCCCCGGGCCTGAACCGCGACCTCATGGGCTTGAGTCCGATTCTGGATGCATGCTTGTGGTAGTATGTCATTCTTATGTTGAGCTTGATTAACAACACTTCAAATATCACCTCAGTGAATTATTTTGAATAAACCGGAGGTCGAATTGATCAGATTTCAACGGAGAAAAACTTCCAAGTTGAACGGAAAAAGTTCCTCGGGCGGCCCAGGATTCGGCTTCATGCTTTTGCCCTGTTGTTGCTTATCACAATCTCATTCAGTTTTCAGCGAAACAAAGTGCAGTTTTCAACAAGCTATAGTATACAGGCTTTCAGACATTGGCATAAAAGCTGGCCTACCATGTGTGATTTCCTTGCAGCCTTGCAATGTGATGGAAGTGTAGACTTACTTATTTTAAGAACATTCAAGAACCAGTAGTGACGCACGAGACGGACTTTGACATCAACTTTCACGGCACTCGAGACAAAACGCGAGGTTTTCCTAAAAATGAAGCAATACGTGTGTAAACCGGGTCGTAGACCTCGACGAACCGACGTTGTAGTCACCTGGATCGACACATTCTAACGGGGAAGAGTAACGGCGATTGCATTAGCCAAATGATGGATTAATTATTTGAGTTGGTCGCTCGCGTGTAAGCAAAGACATCTGCTCGTTGCTGGAAAATCTTACTGAATGTCAGATATCGCCAACCGTACCCGATAAATACGGTCTACCAGGCGCACGGTGTAAAGACGTGAACTGTGCACGAATCACTGGCGTACAACCTCAACACTTTCTGACCGGTTGGCGAGTCAGTATTCCATCAGGAAGCATCGAGCATTGCCTGCTTTTGATGCCGGTATCGAATGTTACGCCCCGTTAAACACTGCAAACGTCAAACCACTGCACGTGTACACGATAATAATAATGCAGTTTATTTCACCGCACGAGGTTGGTGCATATCTTGGCGCTTACAGGAGCTAACAGCACGCACGCAAGCAAAGAGGAAGACAGTTATCGCCCGCATCAATAATATTATCCGCAGTCTTCTTTACGACGCCATCTTTAAACTTTGACTTTTGTAGCAAAGCATCATAAAACCAAACAAGTGTTTTAGATGTGCAGCAATGCCTAATTAAAAACAAAACGGGACCTTAAAAGCGATTTTCGTGTGGTACTTAGACCAAAACGCCATCAGCTCAGAAAAGTTACCAGATGAACGTTTTCCTGATAATCGTCCACGCTACGCTCCAGTGCGGACCGCGCGAATTACGAATGCTGGCGCGCCCGTGGCGCGGCGGTGAAGAGACTAAGACCTCCTTTCTCGCTCCTGCTAAGCGCTTGCTGTGCATGGTCATTAGTCAGCGGTGCAGAGAAACCTGAACAGGGTGACGCGTTCCGCCATCAGATGTGACACTTGCTGCGACATTCCGCGACGGATCCTGGGGGGCGGACGAGCCTCCATGTAATAGGTGATTACGTCAACCGTTCGCAGCGGTGGAGGTGATCATAAGCGGCCTGATATGGTGTCAAGTCAACTGAATGTCTTCTTTGTTAACGTGGGGCCACACGTGGCGGAGAGCTCCATGGGAAGGGACACCGGAACCGCCTTGCAGACTGTCACGCGTTGGCGACTGTGTGAACGCACCCCTGACGCCGTTTGGGCTGCGGGCAGGTTTGCTCGGCATGACCGGGTCTGCTGCCTGCACCGAGGACGGTGTCAGTGACCTTACAGGGGAGCCCGTGTTCCTTCGTTGGGTCAAATCTTGCAAACCTTTGTCCGACATCCGTGATTTCTGTAGGACATTCCATCTGTTATCCCATGCATAAACCTTTCCAATGACCCTTGGAAGCTATCCAACTTCAAGCCAATTTGCATGGCTCCAGCCACTGCCAATATTTTAGGGCGCGCTGTCCACTAACTGATCTGCAATTGCCTCTCCCAGAACCACCTACTTTCCATATCTCAGCCCGGATCCCGTCCTGACCACTCGATGGCGATCAAGACGATATATGTCCGACCAAAATCTCCCCGCCAACGACCAGCAGAGGTGTCCCGGCTTTTCCTCCCGGATTTGAATAAAGCTTTTGTGTGAGCGACCACGTTGGACTTTTGACCGAATTGGGGCTTCGCGGAATGGTTATTATTTGTCTTTTCTCTATACGTAACTTTGCAACTGCACCCTGAATGTTGACCTAACTGGCACTATGGGAAAATATATGAGCCGCTTCCATAACAGCGTCGGAATATTCCAGGTTTCGACAGCGATGTAACAATACTTCTGTATGGAATAAATAGCGAAGCCATTCCACAAACTGAATGGCGAATGGTACCGTGGTTCATTTCTGCGCTGGTCAGTGTCTTGGCACGCTGGCTCATTTTTGCGCTGGTCAGTGTCTTGGCACTCTGGTTCATTTCTGTGCTGGTCAACGTCTTGGCACCCTGGTTCATTTCTGCGCTGGTTAGTGCCTTAGCACTCTTAGAAGTCCACCACTGTACTTTCATGTATGGCTTGTGTTCGCAGAGGAATCTACCTGCTTCAGATCTCAGCAATAATTATGTATGCAGCGAACGCTATATTTGGCTGCCAAAGGTTTGACCACGGGTCAGATCTGCATTTTCTAGGGAATCTGGGCTGACTGAGCGTGGAGAACCCTGGTTTGTGAGTACCACACCTACCCCGTGCTTGACACACAAAGTGTGGCATCTCGTCGAGTGGGCATGTGTCGGAGGCCCATGGCCGATGTGCAAGATCGGACGGCAGCCTGTCGGTGGTCAGGTCCCGCCAGGGGACGGGTTGGAGATGGTTTGCCAGCCGGGTACTGTAGCAGTGCAGTCCGCTGCCTCACGATTTGACATGGTACCCCCATTCCTCTCATTGGGCGCCACTTGTGGTGTCATTTGTGCTTTGATCTGTTGTAAGATACGACCCAGCTTGTTCGCATACGACCCAGCTCCGCTGATACCTTTTATATTCATGGGCAACTGTGAAAGGGCACGCGTACATCTCCGGATACGTCATGTGATAGCCACTGGCCTCTTGTTTTGTCTTAAAAGACAAAGACAACAGGCGAGGCCGCCATGGCCACGACCAGAGTACGTCTGGTCCCAATGCACGTCCGAGGCTGAGTTCAGTGTCGGCAAACCCGCTTCGTCCGCTTCCGTCGCTGCCAAATGCTCAGTGTACCCGTGGACCGCGGCCGTCCACCTACAGTGCCTGCACTGTTGACAGGGTACGCATCAACGTTTGGGCGAAGCCGGAACCGAAGTCGACCGTCACGTCTGGCAGCCGGATCAGCCTGGCCGGCGTGGCCGTCATTCAGGACCGGAGCGCCCACCGGCTGCAAAAGGCTGTCTGGACCCTCATCTTGACCATCGCCGTCGCCTTTCTCGGTGTCGGCATATTCACCAGCTTCTCACACTTCAGAAACCCCCGGATCGCCAGAGCGTGGTCCGAGTCCCGCCCAGCCACACTCGAGTTTCCCTCTTTCACCGTCTGCCACATGTACGGCGTGAAGAAGAGCGTTGTGCTCAATATGACGCGGCCCAACACCACGTTCGAAGACTGGAGAATGCGAGGGCTGGAACTATTGCGCTGGGAGGAGTTTAACTTGGACCAGCTGATCAACGACGCCTCCTACAGCTGGGAGGAGATGGTGTCAGGGTGCCGGCTGGCGCATCACCGCTGTGCCGACGTTGGTACCATCTCGCCCGTGGTGACTGATCGCTACGGCCTGTGTCACACATTCACGCCGGCCATCAGTGTGCCGCACACGTTCCTGGAGCCGCATCTGATCCTTCACCTTGCCGAGTCGGACCCGACGTTGATGTCGAGCGAGCACCAGGGCTGGATGGTGGCGCTGCACTCGCGTAATCTGCGCTTCAGCCTCACGGCTGCCTACCTGGGTCTGACTACCGTACTGGAGCTGACGCGGGGCTCCCACACGGATGTCGTGCTGCGGAAAGAGCGAAACACCCGGCTCAATATTCCAGAAGCACCTTGCTCTGGCATCGATACACCACAGGACCAAGTTGTGCTCTGCCACGAACGATGCCTGAACCAGCTCTCTCTGTCGGGGCGCAATGCCAGCGCACCAACGTGCCGCCTGCCCTGGATGGCCGAAACTCTCAACGCAACTGCGTGCACCTCACACGAGGAGTTCATGGCCAGCACGCTGGGCGCCCGCCGACTTTTTAACAGCTCGGTGTCCGAATACAGCATGCTGCAGGCACTGGACAGGTGCCGCCAGTGCCCCACCAGCTGCCAGACCGACGCCTATGTGCACGACAACCCTACCCGCGTGGTGCTCGACATCTCACCCTACAAGGTCCGCTACATGAAGCACTTTGAGGACGGCATACACACCCTGATCACCATGCGCATGCGTCACGGCGAACAGCACATCCAGGAGGTGTTTGACTACACGCTGTCGACGCTCGTGTCCGACATTGGAGGCTACGCGGGTCTTCTGGTCGGCGGCTCGCTGCTGACGCTGGTGGAGATTCTCGAGTACGCCATCCTCCGGAAGTGCCGCTAGACCAGCAGAACCGATGTCCATCAGCTGTAATGGTGTACGAGAGGGATCCAACGGCGACGATGGCAGGGTTGCAGCATCCATCGGCGGCGATGGCAGCAGAGAAAAGTTTCCTGATGGCGATGTTAAACGGAGGAGAAACACCGGTGAAGATGAAAGACGGAAAAAGCATGTCCTCGAATATTTATGTCGATGACAGCCGTTGCAGGTAGATAACCATATTATTTTTTGTTATCCTTTATCTTATTATCATCTTTGAGCAATTCAGCACGGAACTCTATGAATGATTTGTAAGCAGCATCCAAAGCTAGAACTGCTACCACCTCTAGTAGTAGAGCAGTAGCACCTCCAGCGCCTCCAACACAAGCATCTCTAGTAGAAGTACGAGGTAGGAGAGCAACCCCCAGAACAGCTTCACTGAGATAAGCTTAGCTAGGTCACTATGCGTGATGTAAGGAACATTTTGAGCTCCTGTTTTTTTCCTACCTTAAAGAAGGCATACGCATTAACTGAGCCAGGAGGAACTGTTTGGACGAAGATGTCAAACAGTCACTGGATTATGTTATGGAAATAGCCAACGTTCCCAGCGATATTCATGGTCGCAAACGCTTAGGATAGGTTATCAAAACTTGTGACTATGAATGCTGTCGACGATGCCGAGCATTTTCATCATGTATTCCAATGACTAGTTAATACTCTTGTTTAACCACCTGCTCCTGGGATATTGAAGATCGCTTATCCTTAGGATAACATCTCGGGATAGATCAAAATGAGCACTGCCCGTGGCGTTGTCAATGACATTGACACAGCAAGCGCTGACTAGGTCAGTGCCATTGCCATTCCTGTGTGAAACAGGGCCAATGGTCGAATTAGACCTTATCGAGTTCACTGTCGCATCGGACAAGGGAGGCGCGGCATCCATCACTGAGCACCTTGGCTGACAAAGGCGCAGCCAGTCTTGGTAAAGGGGGGGGGGGCAAAGGGCTGATAAAGGGCCTCCTGACGTTAAAGACCCCGCCCCTACCGCTACAAAAACCACAGAATATCTGGACATGACCCCCTAAATTCGAGCAGATACGATTTTCTTCGTTGTATTTTCACTTTTCTGTACTGAAACAGGACCCGGAGGCACCGGAAGATGAGAGTTTCTTTGTATTTTTGAGGTTATCAAACTAAAGTAACTAGGCGTTAAATGACTGCATGAGATAAACCACCGGCGCCATTCACCTAATAAGGGTTCAGCAGTTAAGTCTTCCTAAGCCGATAGCACCGCTCAAGGGCTTTGCCGGATGTTGTTTATTGTCTTCTATAAAAAAGTATTGACGATCCCGTGAATGTACATTTTGGATCGAAGTGAAGTCAACAATTCCCATCGCTTTGGCCGACCATGTTCGTCTATGGAAGTAACCTTCATTCAGAACTGAGCGATAAAAAACTTACATGACATAGTTAGGAGCATGCGTGCTCGTAATCAAAACCTCACATCCGTCGTTGCAGTCTCCACAGACCTCACGGTCATGCACTTTGGAGGTGATCCAGAGGTATATTCTACCCGTATAATTTTTGGATTGATGATGGGAACGAAGAAGCATTTACAGCAGCCCCAACTGAAGCTGGAATCCGGTGATGGAACTGGAAAAGTAACGGTAAAAGCCCCTGTTTCGTGTTGCTGTAACCGTTAATCTCTTCAGAGCACAGCCTCAAAATGATACAGATCAAATAGACGGCTCAGTCTAAGCATTTGAGCATTCAAGCATTTGAGTCTAAGCATGAATTGACTTCAAAAACATACGGAAGCGTTATTTCACGACGGTCGTTCCCGCGCGCCCGGTTCCCGCCGTCTAGCGTTCGCTGCAGGGGCCAACGGCGTTCGGGTTGACGGAAACTGCGACCCCGGCCATCGGCGTTCTTGGTCCAAAATAACGAGCGCTTAGGCTGAAATTTTTCCCCGCAATTTGCTTTGCTTGTCTATTCGTAGAAGGAATGGATGTCCTCAGGCAAACATGGGCTGGTCTTTTTCAATTGTCGCCTCACTTCGATCTGCCATGTTGAACACTAAGAACTTTCCTTTACCTTTTCTGGACAGGGGGCACCGTGGCTAGGACACTAGGGTCACATGATGCTTCCTTGTCAGGGGCTGAAAAGCCATTACTTCCCAACGTTGGGTGGCTACCGGCTGTTATTCTGGTGTCATGGAGAAGGAGCATCTTTGTTGATCTGGAGGCTCCTATAAATAATTCATTGGTCCCTCCCTGACGCGGGAGGTCTTTTGACCCGGGCGGTTCGCCCCGGCATGGCGCACCGGGTCGCTGCGGGCTCTTATCACTGCAGGAATCCAATAATTCGGGTAGAGACTCCATTTTGGCTTAACGGACCCCGCTCGAAATGGGGTAGAGGGTCTCTCGTTCGGCACTGGGCCCCTGGCTAACACAGACGCTCCCAAAGCCTCATCGTGAACTTTCATCACAAGTTAGCATATCTCCTTTCATTATCAGAGGGCCCGACCAACGCAAGGGGCTCTCTGGCATTCTGGGTCCCGTCACTTTCCCTTTTCAGCAAGTGTGCTCTTGGCCGACTCGAGGCCCTTTTCTGATCCAGGGCTCTAAGGCAATGTGAGTCCCTGATCGACACAGGGATCCCTTCATTGTTTGAGGGGTCAGACAATGCAAATCGCGAGCCCCGGCCTTGTCCTTGCTGGAGATATGGTCCCCTAGGTCTCATTGTACCATGGGTCTCCAATCGGTGTAAGACACCGTCTGGCAAGCATTCGAGGTCTCGGCGCAGCGGGCCAGGACCCCTCAGTACGACGTTCGTCCAGCCCTTTGATTCCCTGATCGCCGGTCCCGACGGAGTTCGACGATCAAGCTCATTGTCTTAATTTGGCATCGAGCTCGTGCCGTTTGCCCCTATAAATACAGCCAGTTTCCGGCAGCATGAAACATTTTTGGCAATGACACTTTAGAGACTTCTGAAAAGTTATCAAAAGGCTGCAATTCAGCGAGACACGCCATTGTCTAATGCCAACAGATCATTTCTCAAACACGAGATTGATGAACACGACGGTCGCGACCATGTGATACCACGCCAACACTGGTCTATATGAGACATACTAGATGTTCAAAGCAAAAGCCAGTAGCGAAGGTTTATTACCTTAGTATATGGGATAAAATCGGGTGGGGGGAGCATGATGGCCAGGTGGTTATCACACTGGACTCGCAGGCGGGGGACCCAGATTCAAGCCCCGGTTGCGCCATAGCCCCTGTGCATTGATATGGCCAATGCAGTCGCTAGCACAATCCATGAAGGAAGCTTCACATGGTGCATCGCGTTTCCTTTGGAAGGAGCGCACCCCCCTGTCTGTATTTTTCACTTATTATTGGATCAGACTCGCACGATTTGATTAGTAATGCCAGTTTTTAAAAAAAAAATCATTTTGAATAGCTCAGCATTTCGGTTTGAGTAGCCGCTCCTGCGGGAAAAAACTTCTTTGACTCCCCGCGCAACACTATGAAAGGAATGTAGTTCATTTGCCTTGCTTTTCCTGATGTTTGATTTGAGTCCTGTTATATTTGCAGCACACTGATTTGTCAAAATGTTCGTGTAATAAATGCTGCAAAAGCTGGAAACAATGTTTGGACAAGACTACATGCGAACATGGAGGTATTATCCTACCAATTCAACGAAATGTGATAATACGGCTTTGATTTCTCCTCTATGCCGGTCACCGTAGTAACTCGTTTCGGGGCTCTGAGATGAAAGTATCATATGGTCCATGGTGACAAACTGCTTCGAACTTAGCTAATGCGCTTCTCGGCAACAAGCCTTTGCCGCCCGATAGGCCAATCACAAACGTAGTTTTGTTCGCATCAGTAGATGTGCCACAGTGGTTGTCATGGCGACGGTGATCGCAACAACTGCAGGGAAGAAGGGTAGTGCTGTTACAAAGTGTTGACAACATAAGTTGGACTAGGAAATTACTGAAATTGCTTTTTGTTTGTTATAAATTGGCGGTACTGCAGTGGTGCCACCCAGTGCTTTTTTGAAACGTAACTGGCTCTGAAGTTTCACTATGTTGCATCTATTACATGACATGATTTAATGTGCTTGGGCGGTCACTTCACTGATCCGTTGCCTGTTGCTCGATATAACTATACATTGACATATAAGAATTGTATGATAGCAGCCTTGTTATTGCCCTTTGCCCCTTGTGCTTACCCTAATGCGTAATACAGCTTATCCAAAAACACAACCTTTTCTATTTGCATTTCTGCACATGTGAATGATCTAAATGAACACGAATGATCTGAACTTTAAGCGATGGACACCTTGCATTACGTACCGTCTGTTTCCCACAAGTGTGCAACGACTGTCGACAATGCAACCCATCGCTGTTCTTTTGAAAGCATGCGTATAGCTTACTAGTAAGTTATCAATAATACCTCTCGCCAGATCTGAGCTGAGAACCAACAACGGAGACAAAGTGATTCCTTGACATTATCATTCTTTAGAAAGGAAGCACGTCCCGTTGTAGTTTCCTTATCGAGGCTCCTTATCACCCATTTTCAGATGTCAAGCAATGCTTTAATGAAGAATGGGTTCTCTTGTTGGTTCTCAGATGTTTTATAGAGAAGCTACTCTCCGGCTTTAGGACAAAAGCTCATAACCGAAAAGAACGTACGGACAAAGTACGGAGGCAGTTTTACGTAAGCAAAAGTACGTAATGCATACACTTTCTCAGGGTTAAGCGCACGTGCCAAAATTTGTAAAGTGGAAGTATACGGAGAAAAGGATGTAAGAAAATGTTCATATGGTTTAAAGCACGTATGTAAAATTTTCAAGACAGAAATTCTTCAGGGCAAAATCTCGTATGCAAAAGTTAATGAGTTTTAGGTACGTTGACAGTTGGTCATAAGCAATTACATACACCAAATGTTCGTCATGAACATAGCTCGTTAAAAAGAGTACGTTCACAACAATTTACAAGCACTGGTCGTGCAGTGATA